ACGTCTCGGCTGGGTCGGAAGTTCCATTCTCCAAGCTGGCATCCAGGACTCATGGATAGACTTCAAGGAGCGCTTACATCCATATATGCCCGACCGTCCCTTGAGATCTGCGGGAGAGGCCCTTCTCCGGGAACCCTCCATGAAAGAAATTAGGAGGATAGGTACTTGGAGGAAGGCTTTCTCTGTGGTGGCGCCCAATCTATGGAATGTGCTCCCCAGAGAGGTCCGCCTGGAGCCATCGTTATTTGTTTTTCGGCGCCAGGTGAAGACCTTTTTATTTAAACGTCATTTTAATTGTTAACAATATTTACTTATTTATCTGGCCAGGGCGGCTTCTTTTCTTTTCTAACTTTTCTAACTCCTTTTATATCGTTTATATTTTTTATTTATTTTATATTATTAATTTTAATTTTATATTGTCATTTTTGTATTGTATTGTATTGTATTGTGTTGTAAGCTGCCCCGAGGCTTCGGCAAGGGGCAACATAGAAATGTTCTAATAATAATAATAATAATTATTATTATTATTATTTATGGTCGGTCCTGGCGTGGAATAGTCCAGAGCCATCAAATGGCATCTCTTCAATGTGCCACTTCATCTCCTCTGGGAAATTACAACTCCGGAGCCATGCATGCCGGTGGAGAGAGATGGGACCGACCAGAGCCTGATAGCTGGTGGACGTCGATAGCTGCTGGATGGCGACCTGCATGGCTTCTTTGACGAGGACTTTAGCCAAGTCTTTTTGTTGATCTGACCGGGAAGTGGCGATGTTGTCCAGCTTTTGCATAATAAAATACTGATATCTGGCAAGCGTAGCCTCATAGTTGGAGATACAGAGGCCGAGTCCAGAGGCCACATAGACTCGGCATGCCAGCATATCAATTTTTATGCCTTCCTTATCTCGAGAAGCTGTGTGACCCCTTGATTCTCTGCCCTGGGACGACGCAACTACTACCAAGTTCAGTTTTGGATGGTGCAGGAGGAATGGTATATCCTGCTCCCAAACTTGGTACATCGCCTCATTGTGTCATGACATGGGCTGTGGCTGGGCCGGCAGGTCCCAGGGTTGAATCATCACCTGTCAGAGGGTTATTAGAGGCAGAACAAAGGCAGCTGACTGTTCGCCCCTTACGATAGCATAAAACTTGTTGGTGCTAGGATCGACCCGATGTTGCGCTTTGATCTCTAGTGACCGAACAAGTCTCGACATTGATTCCCCAAAGGTGATGTGGGGCTCCTCTGGGGAAGCTGGACCTTGTGAAGTGATTGCTACATCTGGAGAAGTGGAATCTGCCTCTGACTCGTCGAGTCGGGTCTCGTAGCTAGATGAAGAATTCCCCGGCGATGTGGCGTGTCCCCTCTCCACACGTCTAGATGTAGACGGGACCTCTCTCGGGACCAGAGGTGATGTATGGCCCGGTGCCGACGGGTAGAATCCAAAGGAATGGTAATCCTCCCAACCCGTGTGGTAGCTGCCATAATAGGGTTGGTCCCATTCCTCCATGTGTTGATCAACCGTGGTGGAGAGGCAAGAGATTCGGCAGTTGGTCTAGACAGCGGCATTGGCGTGGGCGAGCAAACTCTCAGTGGAGAATCATGGATTTCTCCGTCTGAAATCGACTTGCACAATAGTGCCTCAGGTCATTCGGGGGATGCACTTTCCAAACACAAGACCCATCTAGGAGACCCAGGCGGAGTAACCTGCATGGCAGATTGCAGGGTCGGTCCCGATGGGGTCAGTACCGTTACAGCCACCAGGACCAAGGGCACTGACAAACTCATGTTGCAATGTTTAGTGTGATCAGGTTTTTTCGCCTTGTGGGCCGTCTTTTCTGCCTCGTCCTTTTTAGCCTTTTTGTGGCTGGAGGACTTATCTGAGCTGCCATGTTTTCACTTCTCCCTTTGTTTACGAGGAGGAGAAGGAAGTTGTTGAGCCCCTGTTGCTGAAGCACCATCGTCCAAGGGGCGCGGTGGGGGCGCAGCCGAGGCAGAGGCAGGGCGCTGTAAGGGCGCGGCCAAGGCAGAGCCAGGTTTTGCAGCTAGCTGGTCAGACTGCATAAGGGCCTGGTCCCAAAGTAACTTTTGCAGGTGGTTTTCCCAGTTCTTATGGGCCTTAGTAAAGGCCTGGCACTGGCCACATTTATCCATTCTGTGCCCCTCGCCTAGGCAAAGGAGACACAGATCGTGTGGGTCCACAGGGGATATTTTAGACCCACACTCAGCACATTTACGAAACGCCGCTCGCTGCACCATCGGAAAGGAAACTAGAAAGGGAGAAGATAGCAAAGAGGGAAAGATTATTATTATTTTTTTTAGCGAACGAGGAACAAGAGAGATAATTGAACAAGGAAGGAAAACTTGGAACTATAGGAGAACGATTAACAATTAACAAGAACAACTAGCAAGAACAGGGAACAAAGAGAGCAATACTGCAAGAGCAAACAGGTACGAGGCACAGCGAACGGTGGTTGCAAAAGACTGGGAAAATGCCGGACACTCCACTCTATATATAGTATTGAGGAGGAGGGGAGCAGAATTTTCCCATCAAAAACCATTAGCTTTCTAATGTTTCCGGCCTTAGGCACTGCGCTGGCACAGCACCCGTGTGTGTGATGCACAGAGGCCATGACGAAGAACTGCAATGCTACAGTGAGTGCAGGGAAATATTCAAAGAAGGATCCAAGCCTTTCAGCCCTTACAGGCAGTTTGTGGATTCTTGTAGGAAGAGCTTCTGTTTCTCACGGACTTCTGGTCCACCTTGGTGTATGTCAGAGTGGTGGGCTTTCACCTTGTATACTGTATTCTTTAATCTGGGTGGAAGTGTTGGTTCTATTTTTGCAAGTGAGCTGTCGGGATCAGAGTGGTTACTTGCCCCTGCTGCAGACACATGCTCCTAGTGGTGCTACGTCAGGCCCCCTTTCAGTTTCATGCTATTGCAATATATTCACCCTTTGGCGTGCACTTATTTGTAGTTTGGGCCTGGCAAGGTCCATAGATTGATGCCAGAGTTTTTATGTGTCCAATTGGTCCTCCACATTTGTGTGTGTTAAAGGCACAGAACTGCCATGAAAGTGGAAAAGCTAGAAAAATCTCTAGCCTGCTCCCCAACCTTAACTCTTACTACTGTTGACTGTATGTGTACTGCATTGCTTCTCTCGCTCTCTTAGACCTTGCTTAGACAAGCAGTGTTCCTCTTCTTCATTTATTACATTCTTATGTTCTTATTTCCCACCTCCCCTTTCACTGAATGGGGGAGCAAGTAGGCATGCTTAGAGACCCTCCCTCTCTCTCCTTTCACTTCCTCTCTTTCTATGGTGATGACAGTTTTCCACAGTAGGCTGCAAAACTCCAAAAGAATTCCCCATTGAATTATTGAATAATCGAACTCATGAATAATCAAATCTGCACAAGTTATACAGCTGAGTCTTGACTTTTGCAAGTTTGTGTGCTTCACTGTACATCTCACTAAATGTGTTAAAATATGTTAATTGTAGGTGGGGATACCACTGTTTTGTGTAGCAAATTGTGAGAGGTGTGAACTGTAAAATATGTATATAAGTCTTTGTGTATATATTTTATATGCTAGGCCACCAAAGAATGCACTAATATATCCTCTTTCTAAAGAGGCAACTGAAGTTTTTGAAATTCATGGTTCAACCTGAAAGACATGAGACTAACACCATTTGGGTGTTCACTTTGGGTAAAAAGTTCTGCTCATAAATGTTTTCTCCGTGATTAATATGTTTATACAGTTCAATGAAAGATGCTATGGCACTATGGTCAGAGTATACAACTGGATATGAGGAGATCCAGGTTCTAGTTCTAAGCTGGCCATGAAGCTGAGTGGCTTTAGGTCATTCTCTGATTTTGGACCTACCTACAGGTTTTTTGTGATGATAAAATGAACATAAAGACTGCATAGATTGCTTTGGGCTTCTTGCAAGAAGAAAAGGGTTAGGAAGTGAATTAAATAATACATGGATTATAAAAATGAACAAGAAACCTAAGTTCTGGGAATGAGCTCTGCTGACTGAGAATGTTTCTATTCACTCCTATGACTGGAAAAAATAACTGAAATAAAGCTCAGTGTTGGTTTCCTGTAAACAGACCAAAGCCTTGTGGTGGCTTTTCTCTATTAACCGCACCTCTGTGCTTTCACGATGCAGTCTTCATGCTGGAAAAGTTCAACCCTCATCAACCATGTGCCTGCTCACCTACACCCCACTTTGAGATCTACTTCAACAAATGTTTCATGATCTAATTTCGCCTCGTTGCTGTCTAACTTCTGCCACTAGCGAATTTGCCAATTCCTCTTGTCCTTCCCCAATTGCACTTTAAGCTTCCTCTTGGAAATGTAGTGACAGTGGCTACAGTTCATGCACTTTCATGCTATTGTGTAGCTCTTTTGCCTGCCACATATAAAAATCATCATGATGGGTCTCTAGCTGAAGTACCATTCATCCTACTTTCAGAATTATAGTGGGCATCACTCACCCGGCAGCGAAGTTGACAGCTAAATAGGGTCTTCAGAAATGAAAATGAGATGTTGCTGGAGCTGACAGTAAAGAAAATCTTCTATAAAACAAGAGCCCTGAGAATGGTTGGCAGGAAAGATTCCAATCCTAACTGCCCAGTCTATTATTTATATAGTCTATTATATTCTAGATAGGATGCTAGATTGCATCTCGACATGTAGGTATGTGCCAACAGAAATCTGGGACTATGCTTTCAATATTTTATTCATTTATTAGATTATATCCCACCTTTTTCTTTTTAAAAGGACTCAAAACAACTTACGCCATCCTCCTCCTCCTGCTCTCAATCTTCTCCCCAAAACAACCATCCTGTGAAGTAGGTTAGGCTGAATCTGTGCCTCACCCAAAGTCATCCAGTTGGCTCCATGGCCGAGTGGGGACTAGAACCCAGATTGCCTGACCCAGACCCATTCTCTTAAACACTACACCAAACTATAAAGGAGTGTCCAAGGATGTAGACGCACCTGAGTAAACTCTGCATTCATTCACTGCTCTTTAGTGGCTTGGATTTCTTGCAGCAGGGTCTTCCAGGCAACAGTGCTTTGGTGCAGCAAACAACCAAGTGGGAGAATTATCTTGGCCTTGCTCTCCGGAAGTATCACACTATCCAGTACCCTGTTTATGCAGCTGTTATGGCTAGAATGTATGTTCTTATGAAGGGCTAAAACTTGAGAAGCCACAAACTGCAAAGTTTCCTCTGACGTAAATGGAAAAGTGGTTAGTGTGACAAGTTTCTTCTTCACAGAAAAACAGATGGCTGTCATAGTCTATCCTAAATATGCTCCTGTAAAGCAGACCAGGTTGTGCAGGAGGCTTCAAACTTCCAGGAGACCAAGACTTATAGTATACACAGACACCAATAATTCAGAAAGTGGGCTTTGCGTGCTTCATGTGCCCCATTCAGTAACACGTACTACAGATCCATCTCACTACCATCATCTCATGCTGTGTGGCACTGTATGTCTGGGTGTGCATAAACACCATCTCAAAGGCAGACAGCCAGCAGCAGTGGATGGAAACAAGGTGGAGCCAGAGCTCAGTGGCATTAACCCATTTCCTGCTTTTGCAGGTCATGCCTCATCTCCTTGTAAATCCTAGAAATGCAGATTTCTTTGACATCTGAATCCCACTAGACTTGCCAGTGCAATAATGTTTTATTCTGTTATTTTCAAATAATTCTTTTACCAGAAAATGTAGTTATGTAGTCTGTGCAGTTTCATTTGTCCCATAGAAAACAACAGCATGACTGGTATAGGTTATGAACATTTTCCATAGGCACTTGTTTTTCACTGTATTTGGAGTTCCTCATAAAGCACTTCAGATTAGCACTAGACCAGGGACCAACCAGTAACAAATGATCATATTGCTACACCAAGAGTCGAGAGGTCTAACTTTAAAAATCACTAGGACCAAGTGGCATTTTTCAACAGTGTAATCATATGCATAATCTATACAAAGGAGAACTTATAGGATCTAAGCAACATTAGAGTCTATAGGCAGCACTCAAAGATTATGTGGGAGTTCAAAGAAAAATGGTATAAGAATGTCCCCCTTCCTACACTAAAAATGTGTTGGCATATTTGTCTACCACTGTGTTGACAGATGAAACAGTGATCCTAGAACTGAAGGAATAATTCTGATGAATTGGTAAATGCATGACAAAGAAACTCCAAACCTCTGACGCCACACACTCCCATGAGATGTATTTCAGTTCAACAAAGTAAAGGTCTGTGGTAGCTGCATGTCTCACAACACGTCCGAGGCTAAATGCCAGTTCAGGTAGGCAAAGGCTCACACCTATATGTTGCTGCTGTTTGATATATGAAGGTATTGTGCAGTCTTTGACCTTGGCAGTTTTTGAGTGAGGGAAATATTTTTAAAGCAGGACTTTTCCCATCTGTAGAAATCTACTTTGGTTCTATCCCCCTCTGCACTTTGCCATGTAGGGTGTATACACAAACAGGATGCCCAAACTACCAATAGGGGGAATGATTCCATGTTGAAAGTGTGAATCATCATGGGCGTTGGGAAGAACACTCCAGTTCTTCATTTACACATGACTCCATAGAGGTTGTAGCTCTCTCCATACTTCAGAGCACATACTTTACAAGGTACCAAGTTTAATCCTTAGTAGTAATCCTTGATAGTGTTAGAAAAACTCACGCCTGATTTGATGGAGAAATGTTGCTAGTCATGTTAAATGATATTGGGCTAGATGGATAAGGCTGGGTAAGGCTGCTTGTTATGTTACATTCCACAGAGTGGGATTATAGGCTTTTAATCTAATCACCTTCTTGAAGAAGGAAATTCAGAGCTGCAGTACCCTTAACAGATGCTGTCCAGCCTCTGTTTGGATAGCTCTTGAAACAGAAAGCCCAACAAGATTCCAGATAATTGGTTGAACTGTCATCAAAATTTTCCTCCTACTTTTCAGCCAATACCCACTCTCCAACCTACCCATTGCTTCTACTCCTCCTCTATCTTGCTTCAGTTCCTTCTCAACTCAACATTGCCACTTTGATGAACACAGTGCACAGAGTCCCTAACAGAGAGGACCCTGTTGGACCCAGTAAGGGAAAGAACACTGGGGAATTGTAGCAAACCTACTGAAATGACAAAAAGCCAAACCTGGATCCAGGGATAGTTGCCAACTACTGAACAATAGTGAACATTCCCTTTTTGAGCCAGGTGTTAGAGTGGGTGATGGCTGGGTGGCTCCAAGCACTCTTGCAGGAGACAGATTATCTGGACCCATTTCAATTGGGTGTCAAGTTGGGGTTTGGGATGGAGACTGCCTTGGTTAATCTGTACAATGACCTTTGCTGGGAGAAAGACAGATGGTGTGTGACCCTGTTGATTCTTCTAGACCTCTCAGTGGCTTTCAGCACCATTGACCATTGCATCCTTCTGGAGAGGTTGGCTGGGTTAGGGGGTGCAGGCACAGCCTTGCACTAGTTCTGCTTCTCACTGGCTGACAGTGTCCAAAAGGTGCTGCTGGAGATAGTTACTTTGCCTCATAGCAATTACACCATTTCATGTACATGAAATGGCTGGAAGAGGTCATCCAGAGGTTTGGGCTGAGGTGTCAGCAATATGCCTCTTACATCTCTTTCTTACATCTAATCCAGGCAAGGTGGTCTCTATGTGGAACTGGTGTCTGAGTTTGATAATGGGCTGGACAAGGTCCGATAAACTGAAACTCAGCCCAGACAGGGCAGAAATGCTGTGGCTTGACCATCTGTCTGACAGGTTGGGTAGATATTGCTCTGTCTTGCATGGGCCACACTTCCCCTAAAGGAGAGGGTCTGCAGCTTGGGGGTGCTTCTGGACCCAAACTATCATTGGACTCCCAGGTGGCCTCAGTAAATAGGAGTGCCTTTTTTCAGCTGTGGCAAATACAACTACAGCCATATCTGGATAGACAGAGCCTGACCACAGCTGCTTATGCTTTGATAACATTCCAACTGGATGTAATGCACTTTATGTAGGGCTCCCTTTGAAGGCAGTTCAGAGAATTCACCTGGTCCAAAATAAAAAGGATGTTGTCTGGTGACAAATAGCAGCTCATGAACTCATGTAACACCTATTTTATATATACACTGGTTGCCAGTTGAAGCCAGTGCTGTGCTGTCTATCCTTACAATGTCCTATGATTGGAGAATCAAACTTATTTGGGAACTCTTTGATCATAAAGCATGGTCCTGTACTCTAAAAATGGATGCACACTTGGAAAACTCTTAATGGAAATCACACACACAGCCAAGTTAACAATGACTTTATTATAGCTTTATTTAACCAGTATGAATCTTTCCTCTCAGGCAGAATCTCCCAGTCCCATCTCCTGCCTGAATCACAGCTGATCACCCAAAGAATTTGGCCCCATGAGCCAATGTGCAACACTGAAAAGCAGATATTCTGCCAAAGTCAGGAACAAGTCAACTGTGCATATTCATTCCTATCCACAGCTCTCTCCCTAATAAATCACACACTTCAACATAGTTTCCGCCTAAGGACAGTTCATCATTTAAATAATCCATGCATTGTGCATGAGCAGGAGAAGGCAGCTGTGATGCCTCCTGTGCAACTGTTACATCTGCTTTAAATCTACAATCAGCCTATTTCACAGGCCATTGAATATGATGTGTGAACCCAGAACAGTGAGATGTTTGGTGGCTAAAGAGCCCAACAGTTAACACATGGTTTGTTAACTTTGAGCACTTGGTACCTGTGCATTACACCTAACCTACAAATGGGCCGGTCACAGATTGTTGATTAAAAGCAGAAATGGCTGATGTGTTGCAGGCAGCAGACCTGCTCTCTCCTGCTTGCCCGCCCCCCCCCCACCCAACAGCCCCGGGGGGTGGAGGTTACATATGAACTAGTCTTCTGTAACCCAGTCAAAATCAAAAAAGCAACTGCCTTTTAATTTCAAGGGAACAGTTTGGTCTTGGAAATTACTAGCTCCCAGGGCAGAACTTCCCATTTCTACCAAGGACACTGTTTTGTGTGGGACTACAGAGTTTAATATTAGCCAATGAAAAATATAAAAAAGCAGCAGCAAACCAAGCACATTTTCACAATATACAGTACATCAAAGCAGTCCCTTAGCCAGTATTTGCATAAGCTCAAGAGGCCTGTATGATGCAAACAGAATAAATCACAGACACCATTTAATTTCCTTTTCTCCATGTTTTTGCAGTAATGCACCTGATTTGGGAAAGGCTTCAGCACTAGCTGTAGGTTCTCCACATGCCCTACAGCTTCATTCAAAGACATGGTCTGAAATCTAAGCTGACCAGCTCCTTAAATTATTCCCATTCATTGCAAAAGTATGCCTTATAAATAGCTCTTGAGCTAAATAAGCCTTTTTGTTTTAGTTTCATCCCTCTTCCAGAGTATCAGTGTAAGACTTTTTAAAGAGCTTAGTAATTTTCTGGTTGGTGGGATGTGGTAATGCATAGGGAAGCTGTAAAAATACCTGGTCCTAACCAGGAAAAGCCCCCATGCATATAGAACAGACCTTTACAGAATTAGCACTGTAATTGTAATGCATCCTAGTTCAGCTGCTATAGCAAGATTAAAACACAATTTAACCCAACTAATTCAAAATTATGAGGAAGGTTTAGGCTACAATCTGACACACTTAGGAACAAACCTCACTTAAACTCAGTAAAACTTGCTCCTGACAAGATATTGCACTGTTTGTCTACCTATTACATCACTTCACTACCATTTGGGTCCAAAACAAAAAGTCTCAAGTCTTCAGTGCTTCATAACTCTAGGCTGCTGTCTAACAGCAATCACCTTGCTCATTTCAACTCTAGCTTTCCGAATTTTCAGTTTGAGTCTGATTTTAGAAACTGATTCACAACTATGTGTAACTGAACAGTTGTGGTAAGATATTGGCATTGTGTTTAACTAGGACTTAGGGTTTCTTGACCTTTCTCCCAGGGTGATAAAAATAATCCAAAGTATCCAGATCAGTCTCTCAGGAGGTCACTACAATGTAGATATATCTGGTGTTTGTAAATTCCTTCTACTCTGGTCAATACTGCAACCTCCTTAATGAGAGTGAAACCCATTAGAAGCCTTGCCCTTTCTTTTCACCAACCTGACACCCTCCAGATGTGTATGGACTACAGCTTCCATAATTCCCAGCTAACAGGGTGGCTGTGCTGGTTGGGATTAATGGCAGTAGTAGTACTGGTACAGTAGTCTGAAAGGCACCAGCCCGCTTTAATCTTTCCATCAGCAGCTCTGCTAGAAAATATTTTTTATCAAGACAAAGAAAGACCTTTGTTGTTGCATCTCAGCTATAAAAGACCTAAGCACTCCTGCAAGGTTAGCTACAACTGTACAGTATGCTGAGATACACTCAAGGGTTTGGACAGTCCAGACTTCACGATCCAACCTTGAAATTTTTAAACATTTGAGTTCTCTTTACCCTCATCCCAAAGGTATTTTAACAGCTGCAGCCAATAGCCCTAAAAACCTACACCAAAAGCACAAGTAGAAAGGCAGTTCTAAGTGCACAAGCTACAGAAATTACTGACTTTTTAAAAGACAGGGAGATTCATAACTCTCATATGGTTTAACAGCACAGGAAGCAGGAGAAAGAAGGGCATTTCATAGACAACGACTCTCTCCGCTAGCACCAATGGAATGTTAGCAGTTGCACTGAGAATGCACAGTATAGGAGCAAAGGCAAGGAGAAAAGCGGGGTGCACCCTGCTGCAAAATAACTCTCAGTAGGCCCAGTTACTGTTTTTGGGCACATTTGTATGCAACCTGTGTTTTTTCAGCCTATATAAAATAACTAGAAGTAAAGCTGAAGAGACAGACAGGTGAAAAGGTGGCAGACAGGATGGGCAAGCACAAGTTATAGTGGGAAAAAAGGACCTGTTAATGCCACGTGTCTGGGTGAACACTGGATTCTGGATGGCTTCACAGGGGAAGAAAACAGATTGTCTGGATGTACAAGCTTGCTTAGCAGGATACTTCCATAGTCTGAGGGGTGCCATGCATATCAGCTGTTTCAGGCATTCCAGTTTTTGCCTCTCCTGAACTGCTGGTTGGAGACCGTGTTTGGGTGTTCTCTCCAGAACCTACGCTTGAAGATGACTGGGTCCGAGAGCGGATCAGCCTTGTCATACTTGCAGATGGCACTGTAAGAAAAAAGAAAATTCTGTTAGCTACTGCAAAATGTTCTAGGCAGGAACTGGCAGTAAAGAAGAGTTACTACTGAAAAACAAGTAAGATATAGATCACCTATATTTGGAGTTGCCACTAGAATGAGAAAACAGCGTTTCCTCAACAAATGCAGATGTTCCTAATCTAGATCGCTGAGGAAATTTGTGTGTGGAGACACCTGTGTGGCCCTAAGTTTCTTTGCACCTCAAATTCTCCCTCAAGCATGTCTCATTTCCCAATTGTTTTACAGCTCTCCCACCCTCAAGTGCTTCCTTTCAAGTGCCTTCCCATAGTCATCTTTGTTGTATGAAGAAAACCCAAGTCTGGCAACAACATGTTCTTCTGAATGTATAATTCCACTCACAATGTAAAAATGAAGTGCAGGTATATATTCAAGGGGAGGATGCTAAAGGCCCAACATGGACAACTGCTGAAGACTTCTGATATTGCAGGCATGCTCTTTCCCACTATGTGTAAGGGATTCCTGACATAGTTTAAGTTAGCCAGAAAGCCAGAAGTAAGCCTGGTTAATCACAGAGCTGCAAACCATGCAAACTCAACCCAGTGCAAATTAAACTTCCAACAAAATTATAGTGCAAAAAGTGTATAATGAAACAGTCTAAAATGCAGAATGTTACAAAGTCATGCTATAAGCAGCATAAGGCACAAGAAAAGGAAAAAATAGCTAAAAATAGCTAAAGAAGACACACATTTGAAGGTACCTGACTCAGTGGTCAAGTGACTGAGCTGGACATAAGGTACTGGAAGAAGAGGTAAGGGAGGGAATGGGAAACACAGTTAGTGTAGCCATGACATGTGTAGAGTAAGTTCCTTGAGCATCAAGTGTACACTTCCAGCTCTTCTGTATCTTTAACACTTTATCGTCAGAGGACATTGACGTTAGCCTAGATTCTGGCAACTCACATTTGCCAAGGTAAACCATCAATCCTTCATTGTCCAGCTTCCTAAATTCTTGCAATTCAAATCTTCTGAGCAGAGAATAAATTATCCACAAGTCATAACTCACTGAAAGCTTGGCTAAGAGATATCTGGATTGACTGCCTGATTACATGGGAAAGCTCAAGAAGTGATGCCCATTACACATTACACAAATGTGTAAGTACAGTTAGACACCCTCTTCCAGGCCAGCAATACATACTCACACAGTCACCAATGGTGCAGGATACTCTTAAGTGAAAAAAAATAAGTCTGACTGGGGCTGTACAGTTTAATGGGGCCTGTACAGTAGGTAAGCTATAATTTAGTCCTTCCAAAATAAGGTATTATTGCTGTTACTTACTATAGCCCATTCCTTGCACAAAGTACTTGAAGGCTTCAGTCAGCTTCCCAGGCTAAAAAAGAAAAAGAAAGCCACTAAGAATCGAGTGCAAATAAAGTGAGCCAGAGCCAGGATATCCTCAACATGAGAGCTCACCTGAACAACTTGGGGCAGCCCTCCACAGTCTGCCATCTGCAAAGAAAGAAGTCAGAACTGGTCTAAATCATATTCAGCTAAAAAGCAGAGCCACGAACCAAGCCAAAAACTGTAATTCATCATTTGATGGATTAGTGCAGAAACATGGCCTATATTTCCCAGTATGTATAACTTTAAGATTGTATTGTTCTCAGCAAAATAATGTGCCTGACATGCTGAGACTAGGCAAACTGGATATACTAAATTGTAATATATACATACAATGCTTGTTTAACTCCATTTCTTGTTTTAAAGTGGAACAAGTTTTTTGAAGCATGTCTGCGACAGAGTTATTCCTAGCGATGGTTTAGTGCAGAGTCAATCTGCACTTTCTTTTAAATGGAAGCACACAGCTCCAGTCCCCTTCTCTCATGCTAGAGGAGAAGAGTGAGGGATATACAGACATAAACACCTCTACAGAGAGCTCTACAGTGGAAGCTCACAACACAGCTGGCCATAGCTGTTGTTTACCTTCAAGAGTGTTGTATTTGTTGGATCCAACCGTGAATTGCATTCAACCTACAAAGCACAAGAAAATATTTCATTTTTTCTCAACTATGTATCTAAATATGCAGACTTTAATTCATAGCCCCCACCAAGGATTCAGTGAGGGTGGGGACTGGGTGCAGAAGTGTGTACCTCAGCAGTACATGGAAATAAATAAAACAGAAGTGGGGTGCTTCCTGAATAAAATGCAGAGATAAGTCACTGACTTTAAGGATAAAGTTTCTTGTTCGACATAGATAAGATTGAGAGTTAAGTATATGACAAAGCAGGATGACATTATTGATGTGACTGCTATACTGAATACCAGATTACATTCATATGAAGGATGCACAATATGCAGACCCAGAGAAGGCTCACTATCTTTTTGACATCCATGTAGTGGATAGAATGCTGGACTTGAAGACTGGTATCCAAACCCCCCTTCAGGTGGGGAACTCACTGGGCAAGTCACAATCGGGGTCTAACCTACCTTGCAGTTGTCAGAAATATAAAATGGGGTAACTCTATCTGAGCTCCAGAAAATAACAGGACACAAATGTGACAGAACAAAACATGGAAGAAACTGTCTGGGAAGCACAGAGCAAGGATACTGAAAGTGCAAGCAAAGACTTCAGAGCCAAGTAGTAGTAGTACAGAACTTGAGAGAGAAGTGACAAAGTCTAATTTGCCAACTTGCATTTTTGAGAAAAGTAAAAATCAGTTAAGACATAAAGACAGTATATGTCTGCTGCCTTCACAGCATCAAAAGGATCTGTATCTTCCTACCACAACCATCCCAATCTGTGTGCAGATGGCAGAATACACATGTTCAAACCTGCCCAGATACTCATGACCACTTAGGATTGAGGTCCTCTCCCTCTTAGTAAACTCTCCACTCTCACTTGCATTTTTAAAGTACAAGTAGGGAAACAATGTCTGTGTCTATCACATATCATAATTCGTGAATGAAACCTGTCTCACATTTGAATACTACTTCAACAGGGCATGGGAAATTTATAGAATAATTCCACTTTGGTCTTACAATGACAAGGAAGATGGTTATGAGAAAGAGCAGAACACGTGGTATGGCACACTTACCACAGTTTCAACTGCAGGTGAGCTGTCCCCAACCACTAATAAGACAGGGCACCTATCAACGCCACAAGAAATAGCTGTAGTTTGCATACTCAAAAATGACATCATCTCCTGCCTTACTATTTTAGAAGAACATCATTTTAAAATGAGGGCTGCACTGCATTTCAATACAACAACTCAAAACTGTAATCATGAGTACATTCCACCATAAAGATGCCCTGTACAGCACTCATTAATCTTAATGAGGGCTATGCCTCATGTTTTCAGTCTGCTAGCCTTGCTTTTGTTCAGTCACAAGATACAAGACCCAACATACACCAGAAGTCCAGGCCTAGAAACCTGAAGGTTATATATCCTTCCTCTAGAAACATCCTTGGGATATATGAGGAATCTGTTTTGGGGGTGGGAATCCATCAGATTTCCAGGACTCTGCTCCTTGGACTCTGATCGTCTTTGTCATAGCCCTGAGTCCAAGGTCTGGGCAAGCACACCCAGCAATCATATGGTGCTTGCCAGGAATGGCGCCCCATGTGCTGTGCAAGCAATGACCCTCTTCATCCTACATGCAGCAGCAACACAAAAGAAGGTTGCCAGATGCTGGGGGTACAACCTTTGTTCCACAAATATTTGCGAACTTCTTGCCTCAGTTCACTTCCTAAGACAAGGCAGAGCATGAGAGAAAGTCCATGAATGCTAGAGGGATTAATTCTGTTGAGTGTCATTCCAATACTACCCCACCCTTTTCTCTGGACACTGATAAGTAGGTGGATTTCTGGCTTTTGCAGTTTTTGGACCATGGGGTGAATCCTGGCATATGGGAAGCACACAGGTGGGATCTAAGTGTAATGATAGCTCCTTCCTGTTCATGTTTCTCAACAACTGGAGGTAATACATTTCTATCATGACTAACGGCCCTTGACAGCCTTTGCATCCATGTTAGTGCTGCAAGTCTTACTAGGTTCCCAATCTCTGATGCTGGAGTGTTTTCAAATTTCAAACCCTATTGGAATCTGCCCCTTCAAGCATTCAGAGGGTTCCTCTTGTGCTCAGTCTGGTCTCCCAAGGAGAACAGAGTTGAGAGGTAGTCTGTGAATGTTTGCCAAGTCCCAGTTGTGCAACCAGCAACTGTCTTCTGCATCAGCATCAGCAGCCCAGAAGGCAAGCCACAGCTAGTGCAGGAGAGAGATACTGCTTGTGCAGTGGTCACGAGGCACCCATCAGGAAAACAGCCCCCTAACTAGTAGCACTGCCTGCTCACTTGGCTGCTGCTCCTCATGCTGAAGAAATGCAGTCGTGGGGTGCTTAGTCGCAAGGCTGCCTCTAAGAAAGCAGCCCCCTGACTGCAATCTGAATGGCGGCACTGGCAAGCAAGCGGGCATCACTACAGGTCAGTGGGGGGTAGCTTTCCTGGTGGGCACCCCATGTCTGGCCTTCTTTGGCACAGGGAGTTGCTGCTGCTTGAGCAGCTGCTCTGGCATGAGAGCAGGTACTGCTTATGCAGTATTTGCCAGGAACTTGGAGTCTGGGCCTCTGCAAAACAGACCGGAGTCAGGGAGCCAAGCCCTGGGGATCCAAAGGATTCCCAACCCCAGAGAGATTCCTCACACACCCATATCAATTTGATAATATGTACTCTTCTTTGCCCTTGTAGAAAACTACTCCTGCATGTTTAAGATCACAAGTCACTTCTGGACAGCAATCACCCACCTCCCACAGAAGCAGTTTTTCAGGATAAGCCACATTCAGATTCAAATGGGCCTCAAAGGAATCCTTCCTTTAGATGCATGGCAGTAGGAGAGCAGAAAAACAGCAGTGTCTAAACTTAAAAAGGAATGTTACATAGTTTCAATTAAGGGCTTAAAGGTAACTGAGAGCAACTTACTTGAGTGTTTTTGTTATGTCTTCAGTCACACCCAAGACTGGCCTCTCAATGTCCAGATCTCTACGGCTAGAAGACAAAGGTAGAGCGACCATCAAATACTGGGAAGCTTGTGGCTGGGACAGAGGTCTTGTAGAATTAGCATGCACAAAGATTATATGAGGAGCAAAACTGCAACATGATTTAGCTTCTGTTTAAATATGGACACTATTTAATAGGAAAAAAAATCACAAATTATTAGATTTAATCACATTTATTGACATCAAGGGAGTCAATAGTTCATTAAAGGAATGCTGGGTATCAGAATATGGGATTTTGCTGAATATTAGCACACAGAACCTGCAAGGTTGCCTTTTGGAGTCAAGTGTTCATATTTCTGCTGCTTAGCACATTATGTGAAAGATATGTGACTGGATGCAGCTGCAATTCCTTTGTTTCTTTCAAGATATATATTAATTGTATCAGCTGTTTTTAAGGGGGAATCACAAGTTGGAAATAAGATTGCCAGAAGAAATATCACCAGCCTCAGATATGCAGATGATACCACTCTCATGGCAGAAAGTGAAAAGGAACTAAAGTTGGCTTGAAACTTAAAATTAAGAAAACTAAGATCATGGCATCCAGTCCTGGCAAATAGATGGGGAAGAAATGGAGGTAGTGACAGATTTTATTTTCCTGGGCTCTAAAATCACTGCAGATGGGAACTGCACCCAAGAAATTAAAAGATGCTTGCTCCTGGGGAGGAAAGCTATGGCAAATCTAGACAGCATACTAAAAAGCAGAGACATCACCCTGCCAACAAAAGTGCGTATAGTCAAGGCTATGGTTTTCCCAGTTGCAATGTATGGCTGTGAAAGCTGGACCATAAGGAAGGCTGAGCGCCGAAGAATTGAGGCCTTTGAATTGAGGTGCTGGAGGAGACTCCTGCGAGTCCCCTGAACTGCAAGGCGATCAAACCGGTCAGTTCTAGAGGAGATCAACCCTGACTGCTCTTTAGAAGGCCAGATACTGAAGATGAAACTCAAATACTTTGACCACCAAATGAGAAGGAAGGACTCTCTGGAGAAGAGCCTAATGCTGGGAACAATAGATGGCAAAAGAGGAAGGGGACAGCAGAGGATGAGGTGGTTAGATGGAGTCACTGAAGCAGTTGGTGTGAGCTTGAGTGGACTCTGGGGGATGGTGGAGGACAGGAAGGCCTGAGAAATGTTGTCCGTGGGGTTGCGATGCGTCGGATGTGACTTTGCGACTAACAACAACAACAAAAGCTGGGAGATCTGATCATCAATCTCCCACATTACACCCACTCTGGTCGTCACAGACTTCTTGATTTGACAGATAGCTTCTCTGCATCAAGCAAGAAATCTGAATGCTCATTGCTTGCTTCATTCATACGTCAGAAGAAGAAAAACAATGAAGTAATGAACACAAGTGATTCTGTTGAGGGGAAACTTATAACAACATTACAAAAAAACCAGAGCCAAAATTAAGAGGTTTTGGTAAGGCCATTCCCCTGAAATATTGTGTATGAAGAAGGTTGTCTAGAATTACAATTTAACCTGCATGTTGTGACATAAGAAAAATATCAAACTCTTCCAAGAGACTTTGTCATTTGCTGTTGTAGCACTATATACTTTGAAAGCTGAGAGATGAGAAAAGCAAAAGGTCAGAAGCAGCCACATACCTGTTATAGGAAGTAACAAAGAGCTGAAGGTTTTCTTGATTGATGTCCTGTGCAATATGAAGTCTGTATGTCTGGATCAGCTCCAGATTAGCTTGCAGTTCTTCCTGGTGAGGATTGACACTCTATTCAGATACTTGTTAATCATATTATTTTTAAATATATATATTTATTTAGTAGACATACTAGGAAGACATTGTATTAAGCAAAGCAGCAACATACACTTGTGTACTACAGTAAAAGCATACATAGATGTGTTAACAGATCTCTAAACTGTTAAGAGCATGGGACTGGGACTCAGACGATCTGGGTTCTGGTCCCCACTCAGCCATGGAGCCAACTGGGTGACTTTGGGCCAGTCACAGACTCTCAGCCCAACCTACCTCACAGGGTTCTTGTTGTGGGGATAAGATGGAGGAGGAGAATGATGTAAGCTGCCTTGAGCCCTTTGTACGAAAAAGGCAGGATATAAATCCATAAATAAATAAATAAACTGATCTCCTGCATTCCCCATGATAAATCTCAATCTAGAACTGTCAACTAGGGACATGTGAGGAATCCATTTATTTATTTAGTTAGTTAAAACATTTTTACGCCGCCCCCATCGCAACAAAGCCTCAGGGTGGCTCACAGCAAGAACAAAATTATACAATAAAAATATTAAAACCCGGTGCATCTCAGCTTAAAAAATTTAAAATCCTACAAATAAACCATAAATTAACACTTAAAATAAGTTTTAAATAAAAAGGTCTTAGCCTGGCACCGAAAAACAAACAACAAATAATAAATAACATTTGTGGGGGAGAATCCACTGAATTCCCTAGATTCAGCTCCCCAGACTTCAGTCTGCTTTGCAGTGACTCTGAGTATGAGTTCCTGGTAAGCATGCCCAGCATATGTGGGGCACTCATCAAGTATGTACTGAGCCCCATGTGCTGCGCAAGCAGAGTCCCTCTTCCATGTGACATGTAGCTGCTGTTTGGGCTGCTGCATCTAATATGGAGGAAGACTGGTCATGCATGTCTTAGCAGGAAAAGAGCCCTGCATGCACACTGTACAAGCAGCATCCATTTCCTGTGCCACCTGCCCAAAGGTGGAAGAAGGTTGCCAGTTGCACAGGCTTCATTCTGCAACCATTTGTGGACTTCCTCTCACTTCACTCATTTTGCAAGACCAGGCCCAGCAGAAGAGGAAGTCTGCAAATACTGGAAGGATGGATTCTGCTTGGGTCTGTCCTAATACCACCATCACCACAGCTCCATTAAGTATCCACTGTTCTTATAGAGAACTACTGTTCATCACTGTTAACTGAATTAATAAGCATTTCCAATATTAGATCCTGCCATTAACTTACATGACCAAAGTGGTGAGCCAGAACAATGTCCACAATGTTTGTTGTCCACCCAGAAAACTGAAAAGACAATTTGGGTATTTCAGGCAGTAGCACTACACATTTGTATACTAACACAGAACAGGTTACATTACACAAGACTGTTTTTTGGGCCAAGTAGTGAATTCTACTCCAGCAAAGGTTTGAACTCTAGAATTTATATCTGACACAGAATATATATCTGACACAGAATAGCAACTCTGGAAAAAATAAATTTGGTTTTAAGGTGCAACAAAATCTATCCTTGCAGTTAGGTAAGTTTTTACCAAATATATTTTTAAACAGTATCATAAGGTGGCAAACTTTAAAGGATTTTCTATAACAAGACATCAATACATGCAAGTTTAATAGGCTTACAATGTAATTTGTATTTTACAGGACAGCTCACTAATGTCAACATACTAGTCTTTATTAGCTGAATCATAGACATTGTAGACAAGCACTCCATCCTCCTGCTCTTCTCACCTAGGAAACATAGCATGCCACAATGCATATGAAAACAAATCTTTTTTTTCCTTTTGCTCAGGACTATCCCATTATTTCACTTGAATTTTCACTATCTGTTCCATCCACATGTATTTACCATTTTAGTAAATATGTGCTGGCAGTGTTCATATGTCTGTGTGCCATTTGGCTCTATGCCAGCTTTATGACTGGGGATACTACAACTATATAAGGAATCAAAGTGCATGTTGATATTCAATACTGATTAGTGCACCTTTGTGTTTTTATCTCTTTCTCTGGAATTTATTTGAGGGCAAGTGGAACAGGGAAAGGAAGATCCAACCAATACTCAGTTATGTAATGATACTGCAATATATGTTAGCATAAGCATCCCAATTATGGAATAGTCAGTCTCATCCTACCTTGGATGCTGCCCAGTCAATCCAGCCTTTTGCACATGGGTCAACATTAATAAGCACCAGGCCCTCGACCAAATCAGGGTGATTTAACTTAAAAACAAAGACATGGGGAAAAAATCTCTCTTTCATATTCTCCAATATTTGTGCTTTAATGACAAAATGATTTCTGAATTATTCCCAAATGTTAACAGAAACCTAAAGAACTATCAATTAACTTGAATTAACTGCTCCAACATGAACCAACTTTTAATAACAATAGTTAAATTAAAATTTGCAATTTTATAAAAAGAAAATTCCTTTCTTACAAGGGCTTGGGTTATTTACGCTCTCCTGGGTGACAATTATTCACTATATTATACGTGCCAACATTTCTTATTACTACACTTGGAGACATTTAAGTTGTTCAAACAGGGAAATGAGCAAAGGCAAATACTACTTACTGCAAATCTGCTGAGGATATAAGCACCAGCTCCAACTCCAATACCAATAATGGTTTTCAGGCTGGAAGAGAAAGCATCCTTCAAATGGAGAACATTCTTCAATGTCCATACCATATTCAGGGACTATCCTTTTGATTAGCCTCTGTAATGGTCCTCTTCTAGCTGATCAAATACACCATTAACTATCTAGACAACAATTTGTCTTCATGCAGAATAAGCACAGTTGTCCCCTCTCCTCTTAGACAAGAACCAGAGGGTGATACTTAGCACCTGCAGCAACCAAATTAGGAAAAGTCTGTGTCATCCTGTATACTTGCCTCAGGTGTGTAAGAACAGCAGGAAGCATTTCAGCCAGTTCATCAATAGTAGGATACTGATATCTGAAATTATAAAAGGGAAATGCTAGCTAAAAGCCACAGTAGCAGGAACAACTCAACATCTGAAGATTTTATTACAAGTCTACATAGGCCCAGTTTACACAATCACAGGGCACTTAAAATGCCATGCTGTCTTGATAACCACCCTGTATGTTGGAAAGATCAGTATGATTACCCTTGGAAGTGGATTGTTGTGTCAGAAAAATCTGGCCAGGGTGGCTTGTTGTCTGGGCTAACAAACTCTACTACCCCCATGGGTTCTGAATGGCTGGTCAGACTTGGCTATAAGCTACCCTGGCCAGATTCATACAAGATAGCAAGTCGAACATTTTCTGCTGAATGGAATTATGCTAATCCCTCCACATGTGCAGTGGGGGAAATAAGCCACCATGTCTTATTTCCTTTGCTGTGATCAAGCATAGGTCCCTGTCAAACATTCACAGAAGTTTCTACTGACTGAAAGACACAGAACATAAAAGGCCAACTTGTGTCATGAATGTTAATTCTTCTGATATGACATTCAGTCATCTGTGGCACTGTATCAATATGTACCCCAATCTCTCATACGTCTTGAGGGAAACCGATGAAAAGGCAAATATGGGAATTCCAGCTTTCAGTTTGCCTTTCTATTAATTATTTTTTTCAAAGGTATTCCGTTCCACACACTGCCACAACTATAGTAAATGCTGTTCCCATGGAAATAGATCCTGAAGTCCCAGGTTAGAGGGATACTACTGCACTTACCCAGAGGGGAAAGGGGGAGCCCCTTCTTGTTGTCCTGGTGCATCAACATGGCATACAGCAAAGTGTTGGGTGATCTCCTGCATGTCATCGAAGTTGAAGAAAGCATTGAAACAAGATTTATCTGTAAGAGAAATACCAGGAGTAACCAACTGGGGAAGCATTGCTCCATTCCATTATCTGACTCTTGTTTCTCATAGTTGAGCATACAGGTCCATGCCTTGTACTGTGACCTTAGCAAACTAAAACAACTTTTTCTGCACTACAGTTCTCTCTCTTGTCCCTGAAGTCATCAGTAAAACTGCAGCTGAAAAACTAACACACAGATTTGAGCACCTTATCGCCAGATAGCCCAATATCCTGGACTTCTTTTGGCAAAAAGAAGCAAACATAATTCCTGCCTGAAGAAAGCACAGGAGGAATATGTCAAATTAATAGTCTGGTCAGGCCCTTAAACAGACTGGTGTATGTGACATAAGACCACCAACCCTCTTGCATGCCCTCTGTTCTCATAACTTAATCCTTTGACCTCTTCTCCTTAATAGTTACAGTTTCCAAATTTGCAACTGCATGTTAGACACCATCCCAATCAGCAGATAAAGGAACTCTGCAACTTGTTCACTTTTACCTTCATGCTGAGAAGAAAGAAAACTGTCAGTCTTGTTTAGCTCCAGCCTAACACAAAGCTCATCTTAGTTTTGATGGTTTGTAATAGATAGCATTTTTGCCACCATTTGCGTTTTGGCCACCCAAAACACCCAATCAGCCTAAGGTCCCCAGAAGCCTCATCTGGGAATCTCCCCTCCCTCATCTATGCTGACAAAGAGGCATTCCACTGCCTTCAACTTGTCTCTGTGAATGTTAAGGGCCGACTTTGAAGCAATTTTATCTGCTATGCTGGGAATTTCTAATTTAAGTTAACTATCAACCGCATGCTAGAAGAGTGGCTGGAATGTTTGCTGTGACCTTGAGAGAGCGTGGAGTCAGTTGAGAATGAGCACCGAGCATTGCTGGAGGTGTGAGTCTGCAGCACATGTTCAAGCGGCAGAGCCAATGGGCTCTTTCCCTGTGAACCACCTCCTGGGGATATCATGCAGTTTCCTCCAACAATAGGACTTTCAAATTAGGCCCTGGGCAGGGGATTTGATCCCACCCAGGTCCGGGATATGTACTTGGGAGGTATGATATGAGCCAAGTAGGGGAATCTTTGGGAGCTATATAAATGTTATGATGGCAGAGGGAGATATGGCACGCAAGGAGGGCGTGGGGAGAACACAGTCTAGACAATTATTGGCTGTGTCATGTTCCAGCCCTCCTTCCACATACAGATTTGATGGTTGCCAGCTTGCCTTGGGTTTCTTGGTGCTGCACTTAAATGTCAGGTAAGTGCAGAACAAGACTTTTCTCATTCGTGATCTAGTAGCAGATGTAGTGGCCAATCTGGCATGTATAACCAAAACCTTAGGAAGTGAAAAGGGAGGAGCTAGTCTCTTTCAGTTTTGCCTACTTGAAGTACTTAGTTCAGCATCAAGATAGGCTTGAGGGGCAGGTGATGTGTGCTATGGTAGATAATAAATTTTGGTGCTGGGTCAAAAACTTTTTATTTTTCCGGTATTTTGTTAAATATTGTTGTAATGTTAATGATAATAATGTTATTGGATTCTATACTGGTTTTATGTAATTGGTTTTCTGTGATTTGGTTTTATCCCTGTATTATGTATTATTATCATTACTATTGTTATTGTTGGTTGATGTTGTGGTCTGAAGTTAATTGCCCTGTGATATATTCTACGCTTATTATGTTTTTAGACAGTTTTAGATCGTTCATCATTCTGAGAGCTGTTGCTAAACAGTTTATAAAAGCCCTAAATACATACATACATACATACCTTTGCTCTACCAAAACTGTGCAAATACGACTGGTAACAAACAACCCTTTTTCTAATCTCTCTCAGGCAAGTAGCCAGACTACCACCTTTTCCATTCTTTCATTACCCCATTATTTTCTGGGGAATTCTGGCAGCTTTTCCCTGCTCCTTTTCATATCACTTCCCCAGAATGTATAGCTTCAGGAATTAAACAGCTTTTGGCTTGCCTGTCTTTCTCACAAGCTCAGTTAGGCCCATTACCAGCCTTCTGCCCCTCCCATGTCATTCTCTATACAAATTTCCTTCCTACCTCCTTTTTGCTGCCAGAACTATTCTTGCATGTCAATTATACCAAACAACTTCTTTCAATACGTCTGTCTGTAGTACTACTAATGCAAGTTGTGTAATTGACATTTAACCCTATAAAATGCCTTTTGTCTTAAGTTTGACCGTTTGAATGCCTATTTTAATTCCTTTCAATAAATTACAGCTGGGTTAGGCAACTGTGTCCTTAAACTTAGATTCACTTAATGTACCAAACTTGGGATCCTTAGTGGTCAGTGTTTAAGATACCTCTAAATAACAATGCTGCATGTCTGAAAGTGTGCACTCAGGGAATACATCTCTGGAAAAAAGGTAACTTGATAACCCAGAAATAAGAAAACTTACGATTGAGGCCAATATCATGGTATGTGAGGATGACAGGCCTATTTCCTTTTGACATGCCCCGCATAGTGACATGAACTACTCCATATGCAGTCTCGATGTCATGCTCCTATAGAATAAAAAGCCCACCTGATGGTTAGAGTAAACAATCCCTGGGGAGGTGTCTTGGAAAGAAAGTAGTGAGTCCTCAGCAGAACTAATACATAATTACTGAACAACGGAGGAAATCCCTTTTCAACCTGCTCAAATACAAAGGAATTTCCAATTGCAAAAATCTAAAAACCATGTTAGAATAACCCAGATTATGAGATAGATGGGACATTTTACCATATGCGGTGGACATGGCAGAATAAAAAAAATGGAAGCAGATACATGCTGAGATACAGAAAATACTTAAAATTATATTGAATGAATGCTTTCCAAGAACATATTACTGAGTATTGTCTCAGAGACTATCCCCAAAGGTTATGACAGACTTCTGCAAATATATAAAAACATTGGCAAGAGTCATAATCGCCTGAAAGTGGAAAGCTGAAGACTGCCTTCAGTTGGAAGACTGGAAAAACAAACTAGCTGAGTATGCTACAATGGGGAAACTGGTTGTGTCAACAGGAGACCAGTTAAAGAATTTGCTCAAAGAAGGAAGACTTACTATCAACAATTTAAATAATGGTTAAAGAAAATATAATTCTTACAAATGTTTGTGATTACTATTCATTACCAAAGCAATTTTATGATCTATAACTAACTGTATAGGTTCAATAAATATATTACTGAGAATTGAATGGGTTGGATGAGAAAGTGTTTGATAAAAACTTTTGTTTATTGTAAATGTACTTAGACATTTCTTCTTTTTTCCTATTATACTTTCTGAAAGCAAATAAAAAGATTTGGAAAAAAAAGAATAACCCAGATTATATTACAGCTGCAACATTAAACCCTCATGTTTGGCACATTTCAACAGATGCCTTCCCAAACACAGTCTTCAGTAGATGGTGAAACTTGTACAGGAAGATTGCCCTGTGGGCTTGATTTCGGGGTCTGATGCAGTTTTGTTGTATATGTTTGGGTTGTCTAGTCTAGCACATATTCACTTGCTATTTAGTCTCATAGATTTCAGTGGAAATCATTTCTGGAGCACAGATTAATACACAGTGTTTGCTTCTCTCTCTTGCAGCCATCTGGTCAGTCTCTCTCAGACATTAAGGCTAATGATTTAGCAACCATTCCCTCCCACCCATTATCAAGCTGTGTTCTGAAGCAGGTATAAATACATGATGAGACATTTTCATTTTTTTAAAAAAGCAAAACAGAATTAGGGTTGTTCCTAAGCAATGAAGTCCCAGGATGCTTCTTTACATCCAGGAACAAAGAGGGTAACAACCAGTGCAGGGATTCAAAAGAAAGAATCTAAGCAGAGCTGTCACTCTCACCCTCTTTGTCACTGTAGTAGTATATAGAACCATAATTGTAAACATTTAAGGAACTTAGTTTTGAAGCAGTATTTTCATATTGCTTAAAGCCTTTCAAATATTATCACAACACAGCTATAGACAAACTCTGTATCAAATACAAAACACAAGTTATATCACAATAATCAAAAGTCAGATCATCTGCACTGTGTAAAAAAACCCAAACATATTAAACCAGGGGTTATTATGAAGTTTATGCTTGCTATTTGTCTTGCTTTATTTAGCTTAAAATTCTTACTGCTAGTATTTTTTCATTCTGGTTCCTGACTTCCAACAGAGCAGGTCAGATCAGAAAAAGCTGGTCTACATGAGAAAGTTCATAATGAGGGCTTTAAACTAAAGCATACAGGGAAGGGAGATGTATAGCCTGGCATATTATCACCTGACAAAGACTTATATATTTCAACAGAGGAAAAACTTCAAGCAGGTCCCAAAACCAGTCTCCAAAATATGTAGGAAGAAAACCAGGGCACAATGAGAATGAACTTCATTGTCCCTACACCAAAGCCCTGAGTATGGGAAACAAACAACACGAACTTGAGCTCACAGTGTATGAGGGCAATTATGATCTTATACGAATAACAAACTTGATGAGATGACTCGCATGACTGAAACTCTACTATTGATTATATAACCTGTCCAAGAAAAACATTAAGGACAAAAAGGGAGATGGAGTTGCACTATATGTGATAGATACATATCTGCACAGAAATACAAGAGGAACTTAGTAGCTTCACTGAAAGCATCTGGCTTAATTCAAAGGGAGCAAAAAAATAAGAAAAAACAGTTATTGGTATCTATTACCACCCACCCACTCAAAAAGAGTATAGGAATGCAAACTTCAAAAAACAACTTCCCAGTATTTCCAACAAGAACGATATAGTCATCATAGGGGATTTCCATTTCCCTGATTTCTGCCAAACATGGCCACTCCTGACATGCATTGCTGACAACTTCCTCCAGCAGAAGGTAGAGGAAGGAACAAGATGATCAGCTATCCTTGATTTAATACTAACAAGGATAGCCTGGTGGACAAAATAGCAGCCATGGGAACTCTGGGTAACAGTGACCATGCAATACTCAAATTCTCAATAATAAAGGAGACAAAGGTTAACTGCAGCCAAACGTGTATCTTGGACCTCAAGAAAGCCAACTTTGACTAACTCAGAAAATTGATAAGTGAAGTACCATGGCAACTCGCTCTTAAGGGAAAAGGAGTCCAAGAGGGATGGGAAATCTTGAAAAAGAAGATTCTCCAAGCACAACTATGAACAATTCTAACAAGAAAAACGTGTAGAAAACAACAGAGGAAGCCCATGTGACTTCCTGAAAGAAAGAAAAAACATGTACAGGAAGTGGAAGCAGGGCCAGGACACAAAAGAAGAATATAAACAAATAGCAAGGAATTGCAGGGCCGGCATCAGGAAGGCTAAAGCAGGAAATGAACTGAGAATGGCAAGGGATGCTAAGAACAACAAGAAAGCCTTCTTCAGATACATCCAAAACAAGACATGTGAAAGAGAAGGGTGTCCAGCTACTTAAAGTGGGTGGCAGAGTTAAGGAAATAACAGAGGCACTCAATTCCTACTTCATCTCAGCCTTTTCTCACAAGAAAATCTACAACCAAGAGCAAGCTGAAAGTGAGAGAGAGCAGCCCAAGAGTGACAGACAAATGGTCAAGAAATACCTAAATGGAATAAACACATTCAAATCTCCAGGAGCCTGATGAACCTCCATGAAAGAACTAGTGGAAGAACTTTCAGAACCACTGGCTATTATCTTCGTTAATTCTTAGAAAATAACAGAAGTGCCAGATTACTAGAGAAGGGCTAACATTGTCCCATCTTCAAAAATGGGGAAAAAAGGATGAACCTGGGAATGAATGAAAGGATGAATCCTACAGACCAATCCCTGGAAAAATTCCAGGAAAATTATTAAAAAATCATCTTGAAGAAAATGCAGTGATTAATAGAAGCCAACATGGGTTTATCAAAAATAAATTCTATCAGACTAATTTAATCTCATTTTTGACTGGGTAATGTCCCAAAGGGACCGAGGGAACATTGTGGACATAATCTATCTAGACTTTAGCAAAGCTTTCAGCATAGTGGCCCACAACATTCTGATAAGAAAATTAGTAAAAAGTGGTCTAGATAGAAAAACTATGAGGTTGATACAAAATTGGCTGCTAAATCAAACACAAAGAGTGCTCATCAATATCACCTTCTCAAACTAGTGGTGTGCTGCAGGGTTCAGTCCTGGGCCCAGTGCTCTTTAGCATCTTTAGTCATAATTTAGATGAGGAAACACAAGGAAAGATAATCAGACTTGCAGATGATACAAAACTGGGTGTAATAGCAAACTGCTTGGAAGACAGAATGAAGATCCAAGCCGATCTTGATAAGCTTGAATGCTGGGCCGAAAGTAACAAAATGAAATTCAACAGGAACAAATACCAATTCCTCCACCTAGGAAAAAGAACCTAAATGCATTGAAACAATATAGGGAATACATAGCTCAACAGAACTGAAAAGGAAAAAGACCTCGGAATAATTGTGGACAACAGGCTAAATATGAGCCAACAATGCAATGCAGCCACCAAAACAGCAAATGCTATTTTGGGATGCATTAATAGAAGTATTACTTTCAAATCACAAGAACTAGAACACTCCTCACTAGTCAGACTCCATCTGGAATACTTTGTCCAGTTTTGGGCAGCAAGAGTTAAGATGCAGAAAAATTAGAAAGGGGCCACTGTCCTATGAGGAGAGACTGGACACATGGGCATGTTCAGCCTTGAGAAGAGAAGACTGGGGGGGGGGGGCATGATATCCCTCTGTAAGTACCTCAAAGGCTGTCATAAAGAAGAAGGTCAAGATCTCTTTTCACTGATACCAGACTGTAGGACACAGAATAATCAAGTCAAGTTGCGACAACTCAGGTTCAGTCTGGACATCAGGAAAAGTTTCCTTACTGTCAGGGCGATACAACAGTGGAACCAGTTGCCTACAGAGGTTGTGGGCTCTCCCACACTAGAGACATTCAAAAGGAAACTGGACAGCCATCTGAGCGGGATGGTGTAAACTGATGTCCTGCAACAGCTGGGTGTTGGACCTGATGGTCTTTATGGACCCTTCTACCTCTACTATTCTATTTCTATGATTTAATCCTTAGAAGAGGTATTTTGACTTTTTACAATGGGAGAAAAAACTGTACAAAAACCAAGAAACAACAAACAATGGTCAATGGAAACAGTGCAGTCAACTGAGAGACTCCAGAAGCCTGGATTGGAAAGGCAATTTGGGCCTCTGGGCCTGAAGTTTTTGTCCTTGTGCTAAAACTTTGAGGACTTAGAGAAAATGGGAGAGAGTCCCAATGCTCAGAAGGGTAGATGTAACTATGATTTGTTAGAATGAAGCATATGCCCTTCTTCCACTTATCTGCAGGCCTAATGTTAGTACTGTATTTAGTATATTACAAGACTGTATCACTGCTGTGAAGACTGTATCACTGCTGTGTGTGTGAATCACAAATTGTCAATGCATCCAATGCATGTTATTTACATCACAGATGAGTGGAAGTAAGTATGATGTCTGCATGATGTCTGCATCAAGCCAGATTGATGCAAAGTTGTTCA